AGTAGAATGTTAGTAGTAGTAGTAGTAGTAGTAGTAGTAGTAGTAGTAGTAGTAGTAGTAGTAGTAGTAGTAGTAGTAGTAGTAGTAGTAGTAGTAGTAGTAGTAGTAGTAGTAGTAGTAGTAGTAGTAGTAGTAGTAGTAGTAGTAGTAGTAGTAGTAGTAGTAGTAGTAGTAGTAGTAGTAGTAGTAGTAGTAGTAGTAGTAGTAGTAGTAGTAGTAGTAGTAGTAGTAGTAGTAGTAGTAGTAGTAGTAGTAGTAGTAGTAGTAGTAGTAGTAGTAGTAGTAGTAGTAGTAGTAGTAGTAGTAGTAGTAGTAGTAGTAGTAGTAGTAGTAGTAGTAGTAGTAGTAGTAGTAGTAGTAGTAGTAGTAGTAGTAGTAGTAGTAGTAGTAGTAGTAGTAGTAGTAGTAGTAGTAGTAGTAGTAGTAGTAGTAGTAGTAGTAGTAGTAGTAGTAGTAGTAGTAGTAGTAGTAGTAGTAGTAGTAGTAGTAGTAGTAGTAGTAGTAGTAGTAGTAGTAGTAGTAGTAGTAGTAGTAGTAGTAGTAGTAGTAGTAGTAGTAGTAGTAGTAGTAGTAGTAGTAGTAGTAGTAGTAGTAGTAGTAGTAGTAGTAGTAGTAGTAGTAGTAGTAGTAGTAGTAGTAGTAGTAGTAGTAGTAGTAGTAGTAGTAATAATTGTGTTAGGAGTAGTGGTAGTAGTAGTACTGTAGTGAATAAAGCACCAGCGGGAACAATCCAACGCATCTATCGACCAATTACAGAACTACTTAGTAAAATCAAACAACCATGTATTGAATCGTTAATTTGCAAATTGTTCATCAATTGTCTCAAATCACTCAGAATCGCCTTGTTCTTGCATTTTCATACAAATTACCTTCTGTCTTCATTCTTTATTGTTCGATCTTCTTATCTCTCTGCCGTCAGACATTCTGTTCAGTGCTCACGTCATATACTACTTATGTCTACATAAGTAGCACACACCACAGTACTAGTGTTTGTAGTAGTAGTCGTAGTAGTAGTAGTGCTGTTATTAGCAGTAAAGTGTCCCTACTCTGTTTTAACAAGGTGTGAATATAAAAGTGTCTTGTAAACTAATTCATGATTCCTATTAACAACATACATACACACACACATCTGTATTCATCTGTTTTTTTATTTAGGTCATAGTTAATCATCATCATCATCATCATCATCTTCTTCTTCTTCTCTCTACTATTCACAGGGTACATTACACTTGTTCATGAATAAACCTTCCTAATACATGATAACCAGTTACATTTCGTATCATTCATTATCATCGATGAGATAACTTAACCTGGACTATCATCTAAGTGGGTATCTTTATATATATATATACAAGTCACCTTACCATGTTCTATGAAGATTGATCATCTATATAAACATGAATATTATAAATATTGATTATTATAATCATTATTATTAATTAAATTATTGATTTTCTCAATTTAAACTTATTCAATTTGTTAAGGTGTACATCTACACTCACACACACACACACATCCACACACACACACACACTTTATATACTTATTATATTTGTTATTTTATTCATTTTATAACTGTAAATGATGATACAAATAATGATACGATGATGATGTAGATGGAAATGCGATCAACCATAGTATAACTTGTCTTTATTCATAACAAAAGTAGTACTTTATCATTTAAGTTATTATTCATAATAATGGATCTTAACAATTTCATCTTTATATTATCTCTATTGAAGAGTTCTTCTCAATGATCATTTATTTATTATTCACTATGAAACATGAATATGATTAAAGCTTATTCATCATATTATAAACATTGGATACATCTAATAGCTTTCTATATATATAAAGGCATCATCATTATCATCATCATCACAAGTCATATTGTATATGATGAATGAAACAATTAGATTAGATTATACATTATGATCTTTATGTTTACTAATTAAAAACAAAAAAAAAACAAAAAAAAGAAAAAATCATTATCCAAATTGTTCATTCAATCAATAATTCAATCAATCAATATAATCACTAATCATTAAATATCAATATCAATATACAATGGAATAATCAGTAAGTTTAAATTTGTCAATTGACTTTTACTTTATTTAATTAAATCAATCAATGTATATATGATAATGTGTTGATGATCTTTAAAGATGTATACTATTGAAGAATCTTACATTAGGACGAAACACTCATCTAATATATTCATGATATTTATTTCAGTAATTTAAATATAGATTATTTATTTATTTATTTAACACATAAGTATAGGTACAAGGAGGCACCAAGTACATATGCGCCACACGAATCTCAATTGATTTGTGTGAGGGCTGTGATACTGTTCGGGTGCCCAAACCGAAACAGGTGGTTTTCTTAGGGGGCCACACCCCGAGCCTTTGACCTGAACACGTCTGATCCACAAGGCAGTGGAGCATCGTGAGGAGATGCAGTCCCATGTTAGTTAGCCGGTAACCAACCATTGATTCATACGCCATTTGTTCCTTCACGATACTGGAGCTATCCCATGTGCACCATTGGTTTGGGATCCGGTTAAAGCGCCGGACATTCGCTTTTCGTCCTCTCATTTTCTTATAAAACACCCCCGCCACGTGAAGACAGTGAGTAGGACTTCCCTGGCAGGGGCTGTGTACGCGTGGCCATGTGAGAGCATTTCGAGATGGAGAGCGGACTCTCCCCACTCTCGGCCGTACCAGGGCATTTGGGGGCAATATATATATATAGACAGATAGATTAGTGAACATATTATAACTTGATTATTATTATTATTATTATAAGCTTTATTCAACATTATATTGTTTGGTACACTATTGAATTGTCAGCATAAAGTAATTCAACATGTTCCCTTTTTTTATATCTTGATGAATCCTGACAATAAATATTCAATGATGTCCAGTTACATCTTAGGAGTTCGATAATTGACATCACAATAACGTTCATTTGTTTCAATGTATATTACAAGTCATTATGATGTCGTTGGTTGTATGTTTTTGTAATCCATATAGAGAATAATTGTAAACTTTTCATAAACGCGCTTGAATAGATTGTGAGCTCAATAGATAAGAATACAGATAACTTGATAAAATATTTAGATGGGAGGAATACGTAGCGCAGATATTCAAGTAGGGCAGCCATCAGTATAGATTAATCACTGTGGAAAACACAAGTTGATATATTCTCTGATCAATATGTTTATGATGATCAAAAAGGGGATTTTCTAGAGATTCTAATAATTTTAACTGATTCATGATGTGAACTGTTGAAATTATGACAATCTTCACAAAATCCCCTTCTGTTAATCATCAACATATACTCATTAGTGATAGACTTCAAAAGGTATATATCTTAAAGTTCTAGTAAGAAGTAATAAGTAATCAGTGGAGTTTAATCAAGTCTATTGTGAGATAATAACTTACTGAAGGCAATAATGGATATGTTGTTCAATTTTGTAGATTAGTTGAAGTTAAATATTAACATCATTAGATGCTGGTCAGCTCAATGGTTTAGTAGTTAAGTGTTCGTGTTCGAAACCAATGGCTCCTAGGTTTGAATCTCTCAAGGGGTGAGATCGTGGATGTGCACTGTCAGTGAGAAGTCTCATAATAGGACGAAACGACCGTCCAGTACTTCTAAGTTTTTCATCGTGGTTCTACCTTCAATTGATTCATAATCTTAATCATTTCAATATTTATTCATTAAGAAATATAAACTATTCAGTTATGTGAACAAATCAGTTGGGATAATTCATTCCGTAAACAGAAATCTACTCAACATTACAGTGTTCGTTCATTCATTCATTCACTCATAATTGAGTTCATTATTCACAGTCAGTATAGTTTTGATCTTAGGGAATACCAATGATCTGGAATTTTTCAAAAACATATTAAACATAGAAAGTTTATATTTGAAGTAGATGTGAATTACACTGAGATGGTATTACGAATCTGTTTCTCATAACTAAATAGAAAGGATAATCACATAGTAAACAACCACTTGATTTGAGGCTACTATGTATAGTAACATTATATTATATGTCCCGTTACTTCCATAAACTGAATAGACTAGTATCTTATATCTATCTGGTTAGAATGTAACATGATGAATCATAGAAGCTATACATATTGTAATAACTATTATAGTTTTAATTCACTTGATATTGTTTTTGTTTTTCATTTGTTTGAATCTTCCCATTGATGTTCGAGTCCCGAAGTGAACATCAACTCTGAAATGCAGGTACATCCAGCTGACGAGTCCCACATAGGACGAAACGCGCGTCAAACTGCATTCCACTGCTAGCCACTATCATCCACCTTTGCTTATAATGCTTGTAAATTAAGGCAATATCGAGGCATACGCACAGTATGCACATATGCCAATAAGAGACTGAACAATTTCAGTCCTAAACATCAATGGGAAGATTCAAACAAATGAAAAACAAAAACAATATCAAGTGAATTAAACTTCACCCCATTGCACAAGTAAGTGGCTATCAGGACTCAGTAGCTAAGTGGATAACGCGATGGCGTTTGAAGCGGACGGTACTGGGTTCGAGTCCCGGAGTGAACATCAACTCTGAGATGCAGGTACATCCAGCTGACGAGTCCCAAATAGGACGAAACGCGCGTCAAACTGCATTCCACTGCTAGCCACTATCATCCACCTTTGCTTATATTATAGTTTTAGTACCTATAATGTACTAATACTTATCATTATTCAATTACTCATCAGTCATTAAATGAAATAGCTGATCATCTAATAGATATACTATCTTACTTCATTGTATTCTAAATTGTACCAATGATTACATATTGTAGTTAGTACTTAACATGAATAAAATAAATACCTTCTTATTCATCGAAACACTAACACTATTATGATGAAACCATAATAATTTCAATAATTCAGATCATCATGGAAAACCTGAAAGAATTAGACGGCCGTTTTGTCTTATTGTAGAACTTCTCAGTAGTGCGCATCCATGATCTCACCCCCTGTGAGATTCAAACCTAGGACCTATCAGTTTTGAGTGCCAGGCACTTAACCAACTAGATTATTCAACTGGTATTCAATGATGTTAAAGTTTAACTATAACTAATCCATGAAATCGGGGGATACATTCACTATTGTCATCAGTGAATTATTATCTCACAAGTGATTCGGTTGAACTCCACTGAGAAGTTTCACAATAGAACAAAACGGCCATCCAGTGCTTCTAGGTTTTTTCATGGTTGTCTAGCTTCAATTGATTCATGATCTCAGTTATTAAAATTACCAGAATCTCCACAAAAACCCTTTCTGATTACAATGATAATTCACAAGAAAATAGCACATTATAGAAACCTTCGTACAATTACGTTTGTATAGGGTTGATTTTGTTAGGCCCTTTAATTAACATATTTAATAGACGGTGTTATTCGAACAGTAACAATCTGTCTATGTGACCATCTATGCTTGGTCACATGTGACAGCCTACGTATATATTCCTTCCTGTACATTAGATGCTACTCATTAAAATATCCTCAATGAATCTATTACTCTCTTATTTATATTATATATGTGTGCTTGGATCTTATTAACTGATTTGGTTTGCTTTGATCCAGTTTGAAATGACTCTGAATCCACCTCTGTACTCGTTTGCTTGCAAGTATTAGCTTTTTGTTTAAATTCACCTGGTGTGCTTGTAACATTTGTTGTCTGCACTATTCAATAATAAACTATAGTTGACTCTTTGTGTTGCCTTTTGAATTTATACGTCATTGTAATTTACTTCATAACGGTTGTCATAGTTATTGATAAACGGAACCTAAGGAATACGTCGAAGCTAAGCTATTTCAATATCATCTATTTGGAATAGCTGTTTATGAACTAATAAATCACATTCATTCAGTAAACTTCATAACATGCTGAAATGAACACTTGAACATAAAAAAATGAATTGTACGAATTTACATTTATAAGATGACCGATTTGATAACCAGTCAGTTGATAAACAACATAGCATATTATGTGCATCGCCCCCAAATGCCCTGGTACGTCCGAGAATGAGGGAGAGTCCACTCTCCCTCTCGAAATGCTCTCACATAACCACGCGTATATAGCCTCTGTCAGGGAAGTTCAACTCACTGCCTTCTCTCGACAAAGGTGTTCTTCACGAAAATGAAAGGATGAAAAGCGAATGTCTGGCGCTTTAACCGGATCCCAAACCAATGGTGCACATGGGCTGGCTCCAATATCCTGAGGGAACAAATGAGGTATGAACCAATTTCTTGGTCACTGACTACCATGGGACTGCATCTCCTTACGATGCTCCACTGCCTTGTGGATCAGATCTTCAGGTCGAAGGCTCAGGGTATGGACCCCTAAGAAAACCACCTGCTTCGGCTTGGGCACCCGGGGAGTATCACTGCCCTCACACATACCAAATGAGATCTGTGTGGCACATATGTATTTGGTGCCTCCTTGTACTAATATCTATGTGTTAAAATAAAATAAATTATGTGCATCGGTACAAGTTGCCACATAACATTCATGTAATGAAATGAAATTATCAGTCAAATCCTATTGTAGTAAAGAAAATCCTGATATAAATTATATTCGTAGTAAAAAGGATCAATTATAGATGAAGAATATGATCAGTTGTAGAAACCGATAGTTTTTCACTGAAACAAGGAGTGAATGTATCTGTGTTATTCAAAACGATTAGGAATCATTTAATTATTTATTTGAACACATAAATATTGTTACATTGAGGTACCAAATACATATGCTCCGCACAGATCTCATTTGATATGTGTGGGGGTTGTGATACTACCCGGGTGCCAAAACCGAAATAGGTGGTTTTCTTAGAGGTTCACACCTCTGATCCACAAGGCAGTGGAGCATCGTAAGGAGATGCAGTTCCATGGTAGCCGGTGAACAACGATTGGTTCATACGCCATTTATTCCCTCAGGATAATGGAGCTAGCCCATGTGCACCATTGGTTTGGCATCCGGTTAAAGCCGGTGTCGGACATTCTCTTTTCTTCCTCTCATTTTCGTAAACAACACCC